CTATTCTTAAAACCATCCCTAGATCCTACCTCTTTATCTAATTATAGACCTGTAACTAATATTACTTTCATCTCTAAAATAATAGAAAAAGTTGTTTTTAATCAACTCTCTTCCTATTTAGACTTTAACTCTTTGCTACCTGTATCTCAATCTGGTTTCAGACCTGCTCACAGTACTGAAACTTCTTTACTTAAAATACACAATGATATCCTTCTCTCTAGTGACAATAGTAATCTTACTCTTCTTCTTGCTCTTGACTTTTCTTCAGCTTTTGATACTGTTGACCATACTATTCTCTTGAGACTGCTGCATCTTTCTTTTAATATTACTGATTCTTGTCTATCTTGGTTTTCTTCTTATCTCTGTAATCGTTTTTCTTCTGTTGTTCTCAATAATTCTACTTCTAACTCCTCTACTCTTACTTTCGGGGTACCTCAGGGTTCTATCCTTGGCCCTCTTCTATTTATACTCTATACTTCTGAACTACCTCGTATTATTAATAACTTTTCTTTCTCTAGTCAACTATATGCTGATGATTCTTATATTTATACTTCTTTTCCTCCATCTAATCTCAATAGTGTTCTTCATAATTTATCTCTATGTCTTTCTTCGATTATCGCTTGGTCTGATTCTATGTGTCTTAAACTTAATCCTTCTAAGTTTGAATTAATTTGTTTTAATAAATCTAAACACTCAATTACTATTCCTCCTATTATCTTACCTGATTCTAAAACTCTTGATGTCTCTCATAAGTTTCGTAGTCTAGGTTTTATCTTTGATTCTACTATGTCTCTCTCTTTTCAGATTATAGTGTTGCTAGAAGTTCTTACTTTCATCTACGTAGAATAAAAAAACTTTTGCCTTTTCTTGATGATCCTACTCTTCTCCTTCTTGTTACTTCGTTGGTCTTATCTAGGATTGATTATTGTAACTCGCTCTACTATGGTCTTCCTGACTCTATACTCTATCCTTTAAGTAAAGCTTTTAACTCTGCTGCTCGTCTAGTTGCTCGTGTCCCTTTCTTTTCTCATATATCTCCATATCTTGTTCTCTTGCACTGGCTACCTATAAAATATAGAATAATTTTTAAAATTTGCACGTTCATGTATAAGTCTCAATCTAAATTATTTCCTAAGTACTTATCAGATATATTAATTGAACCTAAACGCCCCGGTTTACGATCGTCTTCTTCTTCTCGCTTTTTCTTAACTCGTGTTAAACACTCTTTTGCCAAATCTGCTTTTGCTTTTTCTGGTCCTTTTCTCTGGAACTCTCTACCTACTTCTCTAACTATTTCTCCATCACTTGCGAAGTTCAGAGCGGATCTCAAGACCCATCTGTTTTCAAAATTCATTGAGGAGCGCTGTTGAACATCGCGGAAATAGCGCTTTATAAGCTAATTGATTGATTGATTGATTGAAACAACAATGCATACTTTATAACCAGGCTTAATATGATTATTCGGCGCGGTCTGATTTTGTTCTCTAACAGTCTGAGTAAGGATTCATATCTCGCGGCCACGAGTTCCGGGGTCTCAGTCGTCAAATCATTGCCTGGTATTTAATATTAATGATTAAAAATTAAACAAAACTGTTATTATATTAAAAGAAAAATGAACCAAAATTGGGAATAAAATTGTCTATTGGAAGATGCAAGTAAAACAGGACGTTCAATCCAGGACGTTGGTCGTCAATAGTTTTATTTTTATGATTCTGCGTCAAATCAAAATTAGTCAAATGGAGGCATTAGTTCATTGTTAAAAGTTCAGCGTAATCGACAAATTTTTACTGTTAATTTGAAACAAGAAATAGCGAAAGGTATAGGCAGAGAAAAGTTACTAAAGGATTTTTATAACTAAAAATTGTACGAAGCCGCAAAAATAAATGTTACGATAACTATATCTGTTAGCGATATTGATACCTGTAGCGTGCAATTACCAATTCATGCACATAACATTTTGATTTTCAGCACACACCACACGCACATATAGTAGGATAGCTATTATAATACGTGGGCTAGTAATACTTGGTACATATATATATTTATTCAATCGCTAGGGTTTGGACTTTTTAATACTAAACGTTTTTCTTTTATTATTATAACGTATTATTATATTTTTTTGTGTTTTCATACATTTCAATTGAAGCTAAAACTTATATTTTATAAATATGCTGTATTAATTTGTCGCAAAAACACTATAGTTTATTATATTTTACCACGTATATATAGTTAAAATTTATACGCTTGTCAATATGTACTATTCACAATCATAGTCGTCACAAACTTTTTTCAATTTAAAATATTTAAATTTCACTTTTTGCTGCAATTGCATTAGTATTTGTTAATTTTGAGCTAAAATAAAAACATATTTTGTTTTTTTTTTTGTAAATTGAAATGTTCACGCGTTAAAGAACAATAGTTCAATTACTGTGCAATGCATATTATTCATTAAACGGATCAACATTTTTATTAAATTACAGTCTAGTTTGGATGGACGGGGTTGGTTTGGCCACGCTTGCAGGAGCCTAAAGCAGAGAAATAACTTCACCAATCGTAAGCGGTAAATGCACTGTCGAAAATGTAAAAAACCAATGATAACATTAAAAAATAGAAATTCACAGATTGCATGACTTATTGCGGAGGAATAAATGCTTTTTAGGGTTAACTGAAAATGGTCCCAAAGGCAACGTTGAATCTTCACAAAACCTACAGAACATAATAACATGCAACAACAATGCCTTAGCCAAGTGGTTGATTGATAACAAAACAATCGTATCCTTAAGATACTGCAAGATAATATAACTGACATACAATGTTTGTTGTAGCAAGTAGATAACACTGATGTCATCAATGAAGCACAACGGCAAGCCACTCAGACATCACATGATGAAAATGTTGCAATTGTTAAAAACAATTCGCAGGCAGGAGGTATTGATATATTATTTATAATGTATTATAATTTGCATGTGCTACATCAATTTATTTGTAATAAACATTGCCTCAAATCTAGTATTCCCTTTTTGCATGATGGTAATTTTTCGTCATCTATTTCTAATTCCCAAAGGGTACTAGAACTGAACGAAAAAGGAAAAGATGTTAGTTGCATGATGTAAACCAACTGCACTATGCATCTTTTAAGTAGTACAGTTGAAGAAGAGGTGTACCAAGGCTACCGATGACGCAAATTTAGAAATATATCGATGACGCGTTTAAACCAATATTTAGGGATGTGCACGAAACGGGAGAAAGTTTTGTTATATATGGTATTTTTGGAAATAAAATTGTCTATTAGAAGATGCAAATTTTTTCCAGATGAACACATAAATGGATTTTTGGCAATTTTTCAACTTTCTCGTTACCGATGACGCAAATTTGAAAATGTAGGGTTAACGCGTTCAATCAAATTTTTAAAAATGTGCACAAAACGGGAGAAAGTTTTGTTATATATGGTATTTTTGGAAATAAAATTGTCTATTAGAAGATGTAAAATATTTTCTAGATGCACACATAAATAGATTTTTGGCGATTTTTTAACTTTCTCGTTACCGATGACGCAAATTTGGAAATGTATGGTTAACGCGTTCAATCGAATTTTTGAGAATGTGCACAAAACGGGAGAAAGTTTTGTTATATATGGTATTTTTGGAAATAAAATTGTCTATAAAAAGATGCAAATATTTTTCAGATGCACACATAAATGGATTTTTGGCGATTTTTTAACTTTCTTGTTACCGATAACGCAAATTTGGAAAAGTATGGTTAATGCGTTCAATCGAATTTTTGAGAATGTGCACAAAACGGGAAAAAGTTTTGTTTTATATCGTATTTTTAGAAATAAAATTGTCTATTAGAAAATGCAAATATTTGCCAGATGCACACATAAATGGATTTTTGGCGATTTTTTAACTTTCTCGTTACCGATGGCGCAAATTTGGAAATGTAGGGTTAACGCGTTCAATCGAATTTTTGAAAATGTGCACAAAACGGGAAAAAGTTTTGTTTTATATCGTATTTTTAGAAATAAAATTGTCTATTAGAAGATGCAAATTTTTTCCAGATGCACACATAAATGGATTTTTGGCAATTTTTTAACTTTCTCGTTACCTATGACGCAAATTTGAAAATGTAGGGTTAGCGCGTTCAATCAAATTTTTGAGAATGTGCACGAAACGGGAAAAAGTTTTGTTTTATATGGTATTTTTAGAAATAAAATTGTCTATTAGAAGATGCAAATATTTGCCAAATGCACACATAAATGGATTTTTGGCAATTTTTTAACTTTCTCATTACCGATGACGCAAATTTGGAAGGGTTAACGCGTTCAATCGAATTTTTGAAAATGTGCACAAAACGGGAGAAAGTTTTGTTATATATGGTATTTTTGGAAATAAAATTGTCTATTAGAAGATGCAAATATTTTTCAGATGCACACATAAATAAATTTTTGGCGATTTTTTAACTTTCTCCTTCTCGTTGGTATATTAATATATAACGATTTTATAATGAAGTTTTTTTTATTGTTTTATGTAATTTTTAATCTGAATTAAGTTAAAATGTTATAAATAAAAAATAAAAAACAATAATAAATCTTTTTTCATTTCATTAAACCTTTAAATATTTATTATTTAATCGGTTTTTTCATAATCCGCCTTTTACATATGCTTAATCGTCGCTGAGTTAAAACCGTCGCCAACATTACCTTCGTACCACCCCAGTCGACGCTCCTCACCTAGTCATCCAAATCTCATCAACATCAAATTCATTCCGACTTACAACCCAGCCAAAATCACCCCAAGTAAATGATCTTGGAGTTGTGCGGGACTCTTGTTTGTCGATGGAGGCCCATGTAAAAAATATATACAGGAAATGTTTTAATCAACTTTATCGAATTAGAACATCAGACGTTTCCTCACGATGGAGTCGACAAAAACACTTGTTTACAGTTTTGTTTGTAGTAGAATTGATTACTCAAACTCAATAATGAATGGAGTTAACTTGTTCCTACAGGACTGCGTTCAATCGGTGTTAAACGCTGCAGCAGAAATGGTGGGCGGCGTATCAAAATTTTACTCCATCTCAAAATACATGCAGAATGATTTACATTGGCAACGGTTTCTGTTGAGGATTAAATTCAAAATTGCACTGTTGGTCAGAGATTGCCAAAATGGCGAGGGTCCGCTTTATCTGAGTGGGCAGCTGGTGCCGGTATCGGGGGTTCAAGGACGCAGTCATTTGAGGTCATCAGATCTTGGGGATTTGGTCAATCCGGTATTCAGATTGACAAATTTTGGAAAGCGAAGATTTGCAGTGGTTGCAGCCGAGGTTTGGAACTCACTTCCTGTACAACTGAAGAATGGTTCTATTACTGAAAGGCCTCGATTCAAAAGAATGTTGAAGCATTATTATTTTAGCAATGTGTCCACCAGAAAACGCTTCTGAGGTCTTTCAAGAGAAGCCCTTTATAAATTTCTGATACTGATGTCATCATCCACCCACCATCTACATTTTGAATGTCACTAGCATTGTCAAGCCACATGCTATTGAGCATTTGAGATGTGATGTATCCTACATCATCATCATCACCGAGTCATGGCTACCAGATCACCCTGATGGTTTGATCGCAATAGATGGCTACACACCCTTCAGAAAAGACCGCCCTGGCAGGCGGCGTGGAGAAAGCGTTGTTATCTATTTGAAGTCATCCATCTCATCTCAAATTCACATCGTTTCGCCTCATGCTATCAATGATGCATTATTGACAGTGAACCATACTTCATCTGCGCCATCTATCATCCACCAAACCATCCATCATAAGAAGTCTTCACCTTGATGGGTTACATCGATGAACTCTCTAACTTTGCGTTGGGGAGCGACTCAAAACACATCATTGGGGGTGACTTCAATCAACTCGCCCATCATTCCATCCTTCAAACAGGTCTACACCCTATATTCTTGGGTTCCACCCACCAAGGTCACAACCTTGACAGAATATATGGGATTACTGTAAACCTGGACAACACTCACACTGATAGGTCACACGTTTCAACACATCATTGGGACGGTTGCTGCTCCTCCACCTCCACCAACTAACTCAACATCGAAGAAACAACACACGATAAAACTCATCTCATTTCGCCATCGTCATCTTTCACAGAGTAGCGCTTGCCTTCAACATCTCAACAACATCGACTTCAACATCACCACCACCAACATTATTCTACCAACAATTTTTAATAATAATACTATTAATTTTGATAATATTAAAAATAACAATGATAATAATAGTCGTACTAATATTAATAATAATCGTAATAATAATAATAATAATAATTATATTAACAATGGTGCCAATGATAATAATAATAATAATAATAACAATATTAACGATAATATGTTTATAACTAACTCTATTGACAATTTTTGCAGCAATGTTTTGATAAATTTTATAAAATCATCAACTCAATTTACAACACGTACTACCCAAACATCACGATCAGATCATTAGACCCTCCATTCATCAGCCCATTCATCAAATATCTACTTCGCCAAAAAAATAAATTCATGAGATCAGGATCCATCCTCAAAGTCTCAGCGATTACTAAATACATCAATAAACTAATCATCAACTTCAATTCAAAAACTTTCACTAATAATAAGCGTGGAAGCAAAGCCATGTAGGACTAAGTCAACCTAATTAGAGGCTCTGACAAATTATTCAACACGTTAACCTCACAGCAAATTGATGAAAGCACACTCAAAACCCACTTTGCTTTCATGTCAACCGACCCGTCCTACAAAACTCCACCGACAAAAGCAACAACAATCATTAGTCGTCAACATTAACAATTTGTCCCATACTCCGTCCTGAACATGCTAACAAAAGCCTGTCCATCCGGTACAGGTTCAGACAGTCTACCGGCATGGTTTCTACAAATCATCGCTCCACTTATCTCCAGCACCTTAAATTCTACAATCACTGCTTAATGCATGCATTCATCCCATCACAATGAAAATCCAGAACAATTCATCCAATTCCTAAAACAAAATACCCATCATCACCAATAGATTATTGCCCAATATCTATCACCCCCATATTTTTACGTATTCCAGAAAAATACATTGTTAGATCATTCGTCTATCCGTGTTTCAACCATCCATCCATCAAACCACTATTACAAGATCAGTTTGCATTTTGCCCTACAGGTTCATCTATATCCGCCATCATCTCTTTTTTCCACAATAAAACATAATTCCTTAAAAATAATAATTATGTTCATCTTATTGCTCTCGACTTTTCTAAAGTTTTTGACACTCTTAATCACTTCTCACTTTCAAATAAGTTAGCCTCTCTTCCACTACCTGACAACATTTACAATATTATAAAAAAAATTCTTTCTAATAGGAATTATTCTACTTTCTTTAACTCTACTTTTTCATCTACTCTACCTATTAATTTTAGCGTAGTTCAAAGTTCTGCCCTTAGACCATCTACCTTTATCATCAATGCTTCTACTCTCAAAACTTTTCATTGTTCTAATCACATCATCAAATACGCTGACGACACCTACCTTATCATCTCATCATCGAACTCAAACATCATCCAATCAGAACTCGACTCATTAGCTACATGGTCAAAACGATGCAATCTGTCACTTAATCTCAATAAATCATTCGAACTTATTCACAATAGCCGTAAGAAAATAACATTACCCCCAGAACACCCATCAATCACTCGCACAAGTCAATAAAAAATATTAGGCATCACATTTACCTCCACACTTAATATAGCACCTCATATCAATCACATCATCACAAAAGGCTTTCAAACATTTCACGCACTCAACATAGTCTCAGAGGCATCAAATTATTCAACATCACTGAATCACTCATAATCTCACGCATCAAATATGCAGCTCCCTCCTGGTCTGGTTTTGCTACACAACATTAACTTCAGCAACTACAATCTCTCATCAAAAAACTATTTTTTTTATCTTTTTTTTATTTTACAAATTTTATTAACCACAATAAATGGCTTGGAGACCATACAAGCTTATTAAGCTTTATAGGCCACCAAAAAGACAAAACAGAAACAATTTAAAAAAATTA